TCCCCTCCCCCGCCCCTCCGGTCCTGTCTCCAGCGGGAGCGCGAGACGCTGGTCAGGCTCCGGCGCAGCTCGGGAGGAAGAATCGCCCCGGCCGACTTGGATCCCGCCGAAGCCGCCGCCGCTCGAGCTCGCAGCCGTGGTTTCTGCTTTCTCCGTCCTTCCTTTAAAAACGAGCCAAAACAAAAGCCAGCCGGCCAGCCAGCCGAGACTCGGTTGGTTGATCGCCTTATTATTATTATTATTTTTTTCACCGCTTGCGGGATTTGCAAACCGAGTTACATGCATGTCCAGTGGGGGTAGGTTTAATTTTGACGATGGAGGGTCCTACTGCGGAGGCTGGGAGGACGGCAAGGCGCACGGCCATGGCGTCTGCACCGGCCCCAAGGGCCAGGGCGAATACACCGGCTCGTGGAGCCACGGCTTCGAGGTGCTGGGCGTCTACACCTGGCCCAGCGGCAACACGTACCAGGGCACCTGGGCGCAGGGCAAGCGCCACGGCATCGGCCTGGAGAAGAAGGGGAAGTGGGTGTACAAGGGCGAGTGGACGCACGGATTCAAGGGGCGCTACGGGGTGCGGGAGTGCACGGGCAACGGGGCCAAGTACGAAGGGACCTGGAGCAACGGGTTGCAGGACGGCTACGGCACGGAGACCTACTCGGATGGAGGTAGGTGCCCGCGGGGGCCGGGAGACAGGGAACAGGGGCTGGGGTGGAGGAGGGACCTTCTCCTCATCTCCCCTTCTGTTTATCTCCGGGGAAGTTGAGCTGCTCCCTCTGGTAGGGCCATGGGCGCCTGGGGCATCTCCTGGGGTTCCCTGGAGGCCAAGGCGGCCCCTAGCTACAGGTTGCCCCACCGCCTGGTGGAGGCAGTGCCCCTGTGCCAACTGAAGGGTGTTGGGGGCTTTCCAGGAGCGAGCCAGGCCCCCGGGGCGGCGTAGCTGACCAGAGTATCAGTGCATCATTCAAGAGCAGGCCAGAGACCTGCCAAAAAGGCCAGGCTGGGCCCGTGGCCGCCTCGGAGGCCCACCAAGGGCAGAGGGGGGCTGGGAGAGGACCCTCTCCCCTGTTGGCATTGCCTCGTTGGTGTGGGCCCAAGAGGTGCCAGGCCCTGGCTTCGCTGCCTGTTTTCCTGCGGTGCCCAAGGGCCTCCCTCAGTCCTAAATCAACCCAAGCCAATGGAAAGGGAGCGATTGGGAGCGCTAGAAGCGGGGGTGCCAACCTAAACCAAAACAGCCAGGCAATAAACTTCTAGGTGGTTGGACGCGGGCTGGCGCTGTCGAAGCAGGCTGCTGGAGGGAGGGAGGCCCATCTGTTTAGCAAGAACCCAGGAATCTCGCCTTTCAGTGGCTGAATGATTTTCACTTCACCGGTAGTTTAGGGAGTTGCTCTGCCTTCGTGCTAAGATGCCACCACATTCCAGCCAGAGCTGGGTGCCGGAAGCCAGAGAACAGCCCTCCTGCTGCTGCCGTAAGATGGTTTCTGTGCAGGGAGGTTTGGCCAGTGTGGCCTCTCCCTCTCTGCCTGGACGCTCTGGTATCCACTCTGCTGTGCATCGGAGATGCATGGAGCTGTTAGTTCCTCGAAGCCCAGACCCCAAACAAACCTGCTTTCCAGATGCCCCTCCGCCCTCGAGAGCTCGTCCTCAGAAGGGGCTCCGTTTCCTCCCCCTGGGCAGCTCAGTGTTTCAGGCATGGATGCCTGGAGAAGGACTGAGACGCAGTAAGGACTTGAGCTTCTGCCAAGAATAAAAATCATGAGTGTACGTGTGGTCTTGTACTCCCTGCCTGCCTGCTGCCTCTGAGGCTCATGGAGAAAGCTCTGAACACCTGCTCCCTGGCCACATCCAGGAGTGACAGAGGGCTGGAGAGTAATTATTATTTTGGCTTATGCAACTGAAAGGCAGGGTTCATTATTACCCAAAGAGGAGGAGGAGTCTGGGGCAGTTAATTATATAATGTTCCTGCCTGTCAAAACTGTGCCCAGCCCTGGTCCCAGGCGGCCTTTTCTGTACTGTTGTTGTTTTCATGGAGCAGGTTGGAGAGCTTCCCTGACCCTGGGCGCTGAGGGCCAAGCAGGAGCAGACAGCCCTCCCTCGGTTCCAGGCCGTGGGCCTGTGTGCGTGTGTGGTGTGTGTGGTACTGTTGTTGTTTTCATGGAGCAGGTTGGAGAGCTTCCCTGACCCTGGGCGCTGAGGGCCGAGCAGGAGCAGACAGCCCTCCCTCGGTTCCAGGCCGTGGGCCTGTGTGCGTGTGTGGTGTGTGTGGTGTGTGTGTGTGTGGTGTGTGTGCACGGGCATGCAGGCACAGCAAGGCTGGGCAGCAGATGTGTGTGGCTAAGGCAGGCAGGCAGGCAGCCTGGCGCTCCCAGCTGGGCTGTTTGGGAGCCCAGAGGCAGTTGTCACCCCCAGGACTCTGGCCAGGCTGCTCTGCAGAACTGTCCTCCAGAGATGCTCCCAGCTGTGCCTGTTCCAGCTAAGCCACATCGTGGCCCTGTGCAGGCCAAGCTCACATGGCCTGAGGGATTCTTCCTTCATTCAACATATATTTATTGAGCACTTACTAGGAGCCAGGCACTCTAGGCTCCTTGAAAACAACAAGGAGTAAAGCAGACAAAAATTTTTGCCCTCACAGAGCTTACATTTTAGGAGAAGGGTGGTGATTGCACTGTGATTATTCAGGGAAGGGAGGGTCTGCGTCCGTGGCTGGTCATGAGTTTAGGCTCTGACGTGTTTATGTGATAGACGTCTCTTTCCATGGACCGACTTCCTTAGGCTCTCTACCATTCACCCAACCCGCTACACTTGCGTTGCCCTTCCCCTTCCCAAAGCACTTCCCCTCTGCTTCGGCCTGCTCGATCACATCCATTTTATAGGCGAGACCAGTGAGGCCGGGCGTCCAGGGCCCCCAGATCTGTCTGGGCCCGAGCTCCCTTGGAGGAGTCCAGATTGTCCACATTCTTTCAAGGGGATTGTGGTTCTTAGCTCTCCTATAGGCCAAGTGAGGCAGGCACACAGGTCTGGGGCTTCAGGGCCGGCTTTCTCTTTTGGTTGGCTGGCCATGTGGTATGATGGAAAATTGAATTGACCTTCCTGGCCTGGGATCATCAGGACCAGACATCTGGGGCCACCTCTCCTGAGCAGGTTCCCAGCTTCTCATCAGGAAGGAGGAGGTGACTGCTGAGAATGTGTGCCCTCGGGCAGTCCCTCCTGAGCCAAAGTGGGGTGTGATAATCTGCTGGAACAGAGCAGGGAACTCGACACCTTCTCCCCAGTCAGGTGGTGGGAGATGCAGTGAGCAAGTGGCCACAGGTTGGAGTGGGCAAGGGGAGGCTTTGTGAGGTAATGGTCCCAACTGCAACCCAACTGTTCCTTTGCACGAGAGATGGAAATGTCAGGCAGGCATCAGCAATGCTCCTGAACTTTAGCTCAGCTCCCAGTGCTGACTTGGGGAAACGGAGATTTTCATGAATAATGCACGAACGGCAAATGTATTCTACATTTAGCTGGAATTGGTGTGGCGTCCATTTCAGCTGGGACCCTGCCAGCTCCTCCCCAGGTTTACCCTCCCTCGGGCACAGGCCTCCACAGTCTGAATGGCCTGGGCAGGGGGCACGGCTGCAGCACATGCTTGCAGTTCACGACCTCGCCTGGGATCCTGGCTCTGCTGTGGCTCTGCTTTGTGACCTTGGGCAAGTTACTTGACCTCTCTGAGCTTCTGTTTCTTCATTTCTGCAGAGGTCTGATAATACCTGTAAAGTAGGTGATGATTAATTGAGACTATAGTATGTGGCTATGCCAGGAATATAGTAGGTATTCAATATATATATATATATTTTTTTCTTATTACAGTTCACATGTGGTGAATGTCACTTAGAATGATTATTATTAGAACCAATAGCCAGACAGGACAGTGGTGACAATGAAAATGATAATAAATGGCAATATTAGACACATACTGTGTGCCAGGCATGTGGCAAGTGTTTACATGAATCACAGACCTTAATTCTCATACCTCTAGAGGGTTGATTTCCTCATTATTCCCATTTTACACATCGGGAAGCGGAGGCTTTAAGCAGATGAGCCTTGGGTGGATCTGGGAGTGTGCTCAGGGTGGCAGTTCCAGAGCCTACGTACGCTTTGCTCGACCCGCCTCTCTCTACGCTCTCTTGTGCAGAAACACCTCCACTCTTTCCGCTCCTTCCACACCCTTCTTCTTTCCTGGGCACAGCAGCCCAGAGTCACAGGCTAATGCACCTGCACAGAGCCCTCCGGTCCCACTGAGACCTGCTGCCTTCTCCACTCGCTGGACCCCTGTGCTCTGCTGCACAGGTAAATAGCTTCTCCTGGGTGCTGTGTACACAGAGCCCCTTGGATCAAAAGTTACCCCCTCAAATAAACCCTCCCACACCCTGAAAGATATGAGTCATCTCACGCCCCGGCCTCTCCCCCTCATATGCAGGTCCCGTTCACCGGCCCAGATTCCTCAGCCCACACAAGTCACACACACCCACAGTCAGAATTCAGATCCCCTGGGCGCCTGCGTGCACATGCACACAGTACACCTGCCACCCGGGGACATTTTCAACCCCGTCCCCCAAAACACAGACACGTGCACCCCTGTCTTTGTTCACTCCCCTCTTGCCGAGCACTGTGAATCTCTGCCGTCCTTGTAAGTGGGCAGTTGAGGTGACAGATGCAGCTGTGTGCTTCGTTTCCATTTTAAACATACATTTATGCCATTAACACCCTTTTTAAGGGGGGAGGGAATGCTCATCCAAATAAACTACCATTGGACATATTTTTGGTGCTTGGCTATGAATAGGTAAAAAGTAAACTCTTTTAAAAATCTAGCAGTTCTATCAACGTAAATGTTACACCAATAGAAACTCATTTCAGAAACAAAAAGCAAAAAAACAAAAGTTCTATCAACGTAAATGTTACACCAATAGAAACTCATTTCAGAAACAAAAAGCAAAAAAAAAAAAACCACAAAAAGCTGCGAGTGCTCAGCAGTTGGAGATAAAAGCATCTCCTCCGAGATTCTCTTTCTCTGGCCATGGGGGCTCCCCACGAGGAGAGGAGAAGGGAAAGCACATAACTAGCTGTCTGTTGCTAGTTGTAACTGAGAAAGAAGCACTGCCGAAAAGCACTCGACCCTCAAGCCATTTGACTGGCTTAATATCAGGAGGCCTAACTCAAGCTGGCGAGGGAGTGAAGCTCGGCACCCTCCTAAAACAGGGTCCCCAGGGGAGCTAGCCAGCAGCCTGCGCCGATGCCGACGCTAAGCAGCCGCCCGGGGGAAAGAGCGCAGCCTGAGGTGCGGGGGGCGGCGAGGCTGCTTTTCTTTGGGACTTTACCTTCCTGAGTTTTCCCCAGGCCTCCACAGCTCTAAATATAACTAGCTGTGAACTGTGAGCTAATCCTTTTGCATGAGGCACTCTTTATGTGCCTAAATGACAAAAAGACTTAGATTTGTGGGTACTAGAAGAAGGGGGGTATTTGTGTAAATTTTCCACAATGGTTCGTCTCTTCTGGCACCAGCGGCTCCCCCAGTTTGTAGTTTCCTGGCCTGTGTGAGGCCACATGGAAGATGGATTGCTGCAGAGGGGTCCTGGTGTTGATTTGAGCGGGGGGCCACTCTCCTGTCTTCATTTAGAGGAGAGAGAGA